TAAATCCTTTTGGCAACTGATGCTGACTAACACAAAATTATACTGAAGACAACTTAACATGAAAGAAGGGTCTTGGGATTGGAGACTTATTTGTTTAGTTCTCTTACCTATGAGCTGGGCTTAATCGTTATTTTTTCCAAAGCTTTAATTTAGCACTCTTAAAAAAAAATCCTTACCTATAGCTTTCGGCAATATCAATAATTTTATTTATTTAAAATATAAGAAGTTATCCCATGTCCTCCTTGCTGACTAGCCCTCTGTCCAAGGATGGTATTATACATTTCTCTCTCACTGTTAAATTATGCAAGTGAGGAATTCTGCTATCTTGAGATTCTTGAAAACGAGCCAGGATTAATATTCCCTCTACCAGTGTTTCTAACTTGTTCAATAGCTGTTATATTTGAAACACTTTATCCTTGTTCTCTTTCCTACATTACATCACTGTCTTGGAAAATTCAATTACAAATTCATGTCAATAATAGGAACTTGCATTTTGTTGTTTATGATGCCACTGGAACTCATCAACTCTACTATATCCAATACAGAGAGAGCATGTTACCCTTCAGCCAGTCATAGCACTTGGGAGGCTTGGGCTTAGTGTAGGATTGTGGTTTATCTATAACATCTTCTTTCCTAGCATTATTTTCATATTGTGAACATGAATCATTTTTCTATTCCAGCACAAAGTACTAAAGTACTTGTTTCTTTTTGCAAAGAAGAAAATCAACTTATCTTTCGAAGGAGTCTGAGTTTTGTACTGAATGTAAACTATCATGCAATTTTCCAACTGCAGGTGACAATGGAGCACAAATATTCTTGCCATTGGCTCTTTTCAAGATGATATAATCTTCCCTCTCTCCCCCCAAAACAAGTGATATTTAGCAATTACTTTGGGAGAAAGGTCTTTTTTTTTTTCACACTTAGCTTTTCCTTCAACCCTGACATATTCTTACTTTTTTGTGTTTATTATTTGGGATCTCCCCATTATTTCACCAGCTTGCTGAACACAAAACTCAACCCAGCAATTTAATAAACGTTACTAATTTTCTGCCTTCCAGGAGCTTATAATCTACTAGAGAAGAAGAATGGGAAAACAGTGATTTCAACACAATGAGGTAAGAATAATAGTGAAGACATCCTGAGTCCAAAGGCCATTTGGTGTGGGGGGAAGACATCAGAAAGCAGGTGACTTGAGAGGAGCCAGCCCTTGAAGGATGGACAGGAATTCACCCCCTGGCAAAGCAGAGATGAAAACAGGGTTTCAGACAAAGAGAAAGCAAGTGAAAAACCCAAGAAGTGAAAGATTATGGAAAGTTTCCTTTTCATAATTCTCAGTCCCTGTGACATTTTAGATGAAGAATTCTACTTGGAAAATTGATTTTCAATGTTCAATGTTAATGTTCAATGTAAAACAAGCTTCCTGATCAACTAAATAAAGTTTAAACTTTGTAAATGAAATACATTTTAGTAAACGTGTCTTCAAATACAATATTTTTATGACTCAAAAATATGTATACATATTTAACTGCATTTTACCAATACTTGTGGTTTTCTATACCTGGTCAGTCTAAGGGGGTCTCTGAAAGAAAAAAATTAGGTGCCAGGGATTAAAACTTAGTGTGCTAAAAAACAACATCAAAAAGAGCAGTATAGCTCACTCCCTTAATAAGGAAACCATACTATCCAATGAATATTACTTAGAGCTTCAGCTGGGCACAGACCTCAAGGTGAAAAACTGGCTTGACTCGGGCACCTGGGTGGCTCAGTCAGTTAAAGCCTCTGCCTCCGGGTCAGGTCATGGTCCCAGGGTCCTGGGATTGAGCCCCACATCGGGCTCTCTGCTCAGCAAGGAGCCTGCTTCTCTTTCTCTCTCTCTCTCTGCCTGCCTCTCTGCCTACTTGTGATCTCTGTCTGTCAAATAAATAAATAAAATCTTTAAAAAAAAAAAAAGAAAAGAAAGAAAGAAAGAAAAGGAAAGGAAGAAGAAAAACTGGCTTGACTTAGCATGTGGTAGTGTTTGTGTTTTCTAACATCCTTAAAATCTGATAATTGGAATAAACCTGAGTTTCTCATTTAAAAAAAAAAAAAGGCAGTATAGGCAAATTTCTTGTGGAGAGCAAAAAAGCCATCTGTGCTTTGTACCCAAAGTAATCTGTAGGCAGGTCAGATAGCAGGCTATAGCCCTGTTGATGACTCTATTTCCTAAAAGAAAATAGGTAATTAAGTGTTCCTTTTGCTTTTATTAAGAAAGACATGATCGGGAATTTCTGCATTTATTTTCATAGGATGTTTCACCTGATTCTCAGTTTGTGGTACCCTGTGCTATTGCAATTGCGATTTAATGATGAAGAAATAAATAGAAACATGGGCTAAACACTCCTGGGAATAAATGCATGCACTTTAGTGCCACTGAGTGATTGGAAGGTTTGACAACCTAGGGCACAAGGGCCCCCGCGTTTACACAACCTAACATATATTGGCAGCGTTCCATGACCATGTAACTTGCATCTCATTTCCACCAATTTTCCCTATGAATGCAGGATGAAGGGTAGAAGTATGTGTTTCTCAAATACATATGTTTTTTACTTTTTACTAGGAAATTTTCAAACACATATGGAAAAAAGAGATTATTAGCAACGTGGACAAGTTGGTTTCATCAATAATCCCGTTCATTACCTCCCTACTCCAGAACATTTTTGAAGCAAATTCTATACAACAGATCATTTTCTCTATAAACATTTTAGTATAAATCTCTAAAATATAGCTGTTTTTAAAATAAACTGTAATATTACCAAAATATTGTTTCCATGTATTAGAGATTAACTTTTACATGATTCATGTACCTATGCTTTATATAATCAACAAATGATTCCCAGAAGCATATATCTTGGGTCTTTTTCATGAATTAAAAAGAATTCATTAGCTAAACAGTCCTTCAGTGACAAAGTATTTGTAGACTATTTGTAGAGTATTCACAGGGAGAGAAAGAGTGCATGTATGTATCTATGTGTGTAGATATAGTCATTACCTCTTTACCTAGAATATATTCTGAATAACAAATAATATGGTTGTTGTTTTTTTTCCAATGGACTTAAGATATGTTGGCAGTTTTGTGTATTACCCAAGGAACAGAAACCAGAACTTCATGCCCACAGAGTGCCAGGAGAATTGGTAGGACCTTAGATGAAAGTTGCTTCATGGTGCTCCTGGGGCTATTGGACACTAGAAGCCAAGAATTCCAAGACCAGCAAAAAGAAGCATTCTTGGCTAGCACCCAATGTGTAGAGCCCCTCTCTGTAAGGAACTAAATGGGATTGAACTGAAGAGCAAAGAACTGTTCCTCAAAAGCCTTGAACTGCATTCATTCCAAGTACTTGGACAAAATTCACATCTGCTGCATGTGTTTACATGCTCATTTGATTCAAGCTGGAATGGGTGTATATGGCAAAAGGAAACTTCCTCCTCCCTCTACTATATACTCTGCAAATTCATACAGCATACTAAAAAGGGTTGAGAAACACTGAGCTAAGATATAAATTCTCCCTCTCAAGAATTGTAAATACATATGGATGATAAATGTATACTCAGATCATATGTGTAATGAATTAAATTGTATATTGTAATTTTAACTCAATATTAAATGGACTTTTGAAAAGCATAATATTCTCACCTTATAAGTTAATATTTTGAAGCATATGGAACTGGCTGAGTGTTACAATAACAGTCCTCTCAGCCCTGTTTTATGGATATCAGAGAGCTGTGATGAAAAGCTTATCAGTCTACGAATTGCTTTTTACATAAATACAGCTTTTACCCCCAGATCATTCAGTAGGTCTATAGATGAAACCACTGTAATTGTTTATTAAATTATCCTGGAGAAGTGAGTTGGGGGAGACAAACCATGAGAGACTGTGGACTCTGAGAAACAAACTGAGGGTTTTGGAGGGGAAGGGAGTGGGGGGTTGGGTGAGCCTGGTGCTGGGTATTAAGGAGGGCACATATTGCATGGAGCACTGGCTGGTGCATAAACAATGAATGCTGGAACACTGAAAAGAAATAAAATAAAATAAAATAAAATAGAAAAAAACCTTTAAAAAATAAAACGCAATCCTTTAAATTAAAAAAAAAATGTCTTGTAGATTCAGAATCTTGGCAAACAGGAAAAGAAAGCACATGATGCCATTAAAAATAGCCATTTATAAGAAGTAGCTTTTGAAATAACTGGTAGAGAGCAGTAGGAGCCATAAATTGCAGAAGTGAGTTAAATGAATCTTGATGTGATGGGAGTCCATGATTTGCCAGGAGGAGGCTAGCAAGAAGAGAGGGAGTAGAGCTCTGTGTGTTATTAATCTCCCAACCAGATGTCTTTGTCTCACTGGAAAGCAGGTATCATGGTATCTTTTGTGAAGTTATTGTGTGATTCTTTCTTTCTCTATGATGTGCTGTAAAGATAAAAATGAAAATACCAAAAATGAAATTTTGCACATGTAACCAACGAGGCGTGAATGGTGGAATAAATGTTAGATGAGAACCAAGAGATCCGAGCTCAGACCTGACACTGGCTCCTCCTCTATCACAGGAGATTTTCCCTGGTGGAAGAATTTCAGGCAGCTGCCGGTGACTATATGGAAACTTGCTCTTTGGCCTGCCCTTCTTGCTCCATGGAGTGTCCTGCTGGGCCTTTCCATCTGCTTTTTCCATCAGCAGAGCCATGCCAGATTAGCCGGTTTTATATGTATCTGAATGTACTTCTTGCAAAAAACCAGGTGAGCCCATTAAAGGTGCCATCTGTTTGGGTCTTCATTTATTCATTCATCAATATTTACTCAATTGAGCATCTACTATGTGCCAGGAACTCTGTTAGGTGCTGGGAATGCAGTAGTAAACAAGACAGACACAGTCTCTGCTTTAACGTGGATTATAGTTTAACAAGGGAAGCTATTTTTTTATTTGTGATATCTCCTACAAAGGAAACTGCAAAATTTAACAGGGGAGCCAATAATAATTATAGTAAGTGCTACAAAGGAAAACAATATAAAGAAAAGTATAGACCAGTGCTTTTGAAACTAAAGTTGCAACTCATTAGAGGAGCATGAAATCAATTTAGTGAGACAAGAGCAGCATGCCTTTATGTAGTGGAATGAATTGGGATAGGAAGAAATAGAAAAGGGAAGACTAGAGTGTATCAGGTGTAATAAGAGGAAGTACTGCTTCAAGAATTAATACGTATCTATGCGTGTACGTGCGTGTGCGTGCCTGGGTACTGCCTACAGGCAAGCGAGGTTCCCAGGCTAGCCCGGGTGGCCCCTGCTGGGTGTCCACCCCTGTTGCAGCACATTTGCCCATGGTCTGCTTCTGATTAAGGTGGATCACAGTGACATTCCAAGCTCCAATAAAGACTGTCCCAAACTTTGAGGAAAAAGAAAAAAAAGGAATTAACATGGAGATGAAAAAAATTATTTCTGCCTCAGGATCATGGTGGAAAAAGTTTTAAGGCCATTGACATAAACACACTGTGGAAACTGTAACAGACATATGTATCACTGCCTGCTCCTAACACAGCTACTTCATTAGAGCCTACCACACCCTAGGCTGCACAGCCTTGCTCCACAATTCTTGAACAGTCAGTGTATTACTAACTATCCATCAGATTTACCTGTAAGGATTTTGAAACTGAGATGCTGGAAATCTGAGTCCATCGGATGTAGAAATTAGAGCTAAAAGATCAGGTCAAGTCAACGTGAGGTGGTCAGATAGGTCCGTATGCAAGATGGATAAGCTCAGGAAGCTGACTCAGAGATAGAAGAATGGAGAAAACACCCATAGAGGGAGAGAGAGACAGAACAAGGAAGCGCAGTTCCTGACGGCAGGTTTAGAATCTTGACTTGACGTATTTACTCTTCTCAGATGCCATAAGGTCTTCATATTTTTCGGTGAACACTATTTCCCTTTTCACATGAGCTATTTGAACATATTAATTTTCTTACAACTAAGAGTATTTTCTGGAAAAAAAAAACTGGTATAAAGTTCATGTTTACTTTTGATTCCTGTTAATATCAGTGATAATGTATCCACCAAGAAATGAGCAGAATATCATTTGTTTAAAAAGACCAGGGAAAGAAAGCTAGTCCTTTAGCCATAGAGGCTTTGCAAACAAGTCCTCAATCATTCTTTAATATCTAGATTGAGAATTTTCAGCCTTTTATGCTGTATCCTTCCAAAATAAATTATTTTCTACATTGGCTTCACAGTATTCTCAGCAGTACAGTGATCCATTTTTAGATACAGAACAGAGAAACTGGCTCCCTTCCAGGTCACTCCTATGTTAATGATACATCCACAATAATCTGAATGAACTAAACTGAGATATTCAGTGTTTGCTTACAACAGAGTCTGTCTGTTTCTTTTATTGTGAATGGCACAATGGTTCAAAAATGAAGATGCCACTGATAGAAAACACCCTGTGTTCATTCACTTTGAGCTTTGTTTGCTGCTTGAACTTGATTACAACTGACATCCATTGAGGAATATAAAAACATCCATTCTCCCTTTAGTCATTCAGGCACATAATGAGTTTCAACAAAACACAGAGGAATCCAAGAATCTGCATCACCCAGAGAGTGCCCTTGAAATAAAGCCTTACCTTTTATTAGAACACATTGTTATCCACATTAAGGGGAAAAAGGTATAAATTTGTACTCTGCAATTGAGGCTTTACTTAGACATCCTATTTTTCCTATGCTTAGGAAAAGTAAATTCAAAGACATCAAAACTGTTGAATAAAACACAGAAAATATTTTCTCTTAAGGGGAGGAGAGGGGAGGGAATGGCTGTGAATTAGTCCCAAGTTAGAAAAGACAAATTTCTCAAGTCGATTTCTGAAAATGACATCTTATCAACTAAAAAAATTTAAAAATCAAAGATGGCAAGAGCATAAAATAAAGAATAGAAAGCTGTAAGAAAGAACAATAAATCTAGACAAAGAGTTGTGTTCTGATGGACTAGATAGTTGCATTACAGAGTCTGGGGTGTCCTGATGCTAATACAACCCGCCAGGATGTCTCTGCCTCGGGTCAGCTGTTCCTTCCACATCCTCAGACTGAATCCAACCCCTACTAACCAGCTTACAAACACATGTTGGCTGGTAAAACAGGAAAACCCAATGCCATCATCAAATAATAATTAATAGCTAAAAAGTGGTGCCTTGGTGGCTCGGGTCAGTTAAGCATCCAGTTCTTGCTTTTGACTCAGATCATGATCTCATGTGTCTTGAGATTGTGCCTGGAATTGGGCTCCATGCTCTTCTGGGGGTCAGCCTCAGAGTCTCTCCCTCTGCTCCTCCCTCACTCTCAGGCATGTTCTCTCTTGCTAAAATGAATAAATCCTCAAAAAAAAAAAAATTAAACTAGCCCTCATCAATACCCAAAAGCAACATCTTAGTGTGAAAAATCAGCTAATTATTATTAGAGCAAAATACAGCTTTATAATCTTATTTGTCATTTACTAAGTTCCAAGAGGAGTCTGGGAAATAGACAACATTCTCTACTATTTTGACATCCTTATATTTTTTCTAACTAGTTTATTCTAAAGAAACGATGGGGAAAGTGAGTGTCATATTGCCCTGGTATAGGACCAATAACTCAGCTAGACAATGTGCTTCTACATAGATTTAAATTTAAATTTAAAAAGGAGAGGTAGAGAGTTGCTGGGATGGGGGTGGGCAGTAGGGATAGGGTCGCTGTGTTATGGATATTGGGGAAGGTATGTGCTATGGTGAGTGCTGTGAAGTGTGTAAGACTGATGATTCACAGACCTGTACCCCTGAAGCAAATAATACATTATGTGTCAATAAAAATTAATTAATCAATTAATTAATTGAGTAAAATAAATAAATAAGTAAAGATGAGAAGTATTATTAGGCTAAAGTCTCTCCCAGCCAATCATATTTTTTCCTCACTTGCAGGATTCATCCTAGGCCTGATCTGAATTCTATACTACATGGAGAAGTAAAGGTCTCTGGATTCCTAAAGTGATTAGCATGAACCCAATATCCGGTGTTAATCATGTCCGACCCTAAGTAGGAGCATACTCAAGACCATTTAACTAAGCTTGGGAGGGTCCACAAACTCAGGCTGGAGATTTCCTTTCTAGTCATAGATCTTTTATTTTATTTTATTTTTCAAGATTTTATTTATTTATTTGACAGAGAGAGAGGGAGGGAAAGAAAGAGCACAAGCGGGAGAGGCAGCAGGCAGAAGGAGAGGGAGAAGCAGGCTTCCCCCTGAGCAGAGAGCTGGATGTAGGGCTCAATCCCAGCACCCTGACACCAAGACCTGAGCCAAAGGCAGCTGGCTTAACTGACTGAGCCACCCAAGTGCCCCTTTCTAGTCATAGGTCTTTTAAGTTGGGACTTCAAGTCCAACAAAAACATGAGAAATATCCAGTGTCAACCAGATACATTTTAAAATTTGTGAGCAGCTAAAATTAGGACAACTAAAGTTTCTAAGCTATTATCAAATTTAAAAATCTTTAAATTTGTTTCAAATAGATATTTTATACTTTAGAATCTCATTAAGATCAAAAGTGAGTTAGAAGGGAAAGCCCTGCTCATATCTTAGAAGACAAAGCAATGTAAAATCAATCAAATCATTATCCTAATTAGAGCTTGCAGACTTCTCTGAACGCATTAAAGAATGAAGCAATCTGTGAAACTCAAATCCAGGGTTATGGGCTGTAGGATCATCCTGCCTGAGTCCCTGAGTCATTGGTTTCACCACTACACATGTGGCTCATTGCATCGCATCAAGGTCTTCCACAGAATCTGAACAGCGAGCTGATGCAAATATCTAATCATAGATAACCTCAGGTAACTGGGATGGCCACCATCTGACCTAGGGAGTTCATGTCTTTCAACTCCAAGGACTTAAAACTAAGTATGGAAATGTTTAAGAAAATCAAAACCATGATATTAATATTTTGTGTTAGAAAGAAGTCTGCCCATATTTGGTATTTTCTGTACTTTTAGTGTTTAAAAGAATTAGGTCTATTAGAGTGCCAGTCTTATGATTCCGATTGAAAGTATATAATTTAGGTTTAGATTTATGATTTTAAGTTGATGTATTACTAAGATTATACAAAGCATTGAGAATCTAGGCTCAACATATTTCTGAGTTTCACTTACAGTTATTTTAAAAAACAGTGTTTGGGAAGTATTATTAACTCAAAGGAACAGGTATACAGATAATAAAATATACAAATATAAAAGCACTTTATAATATTTGATTATGTTTAAATTAGACCAAATATCCAAGAATCTTTAAATGTGATTAACATTTTCTAAACATATAAACCAATTGATAGTATATGTAAGCTAAACTTAAAAGCCTAAAAAAGAATTAGGTATTATGAATTTTTTAAACCAAAAGCAAACTCGTGAATGATCGTCTATGAACACAATAATTACACTGTATAAGACCAAACATTTCACATCGGCACTTTGGATTTGGGAGTGTGAAAACTGGAAGGTTCCCCCCCAGGGAATTAAAATCTTTAGGGTTAATTATAACCCTGATTGCTATGTGTATCAGAATTTTAAAATGTACCTTCCACAGCACTGAATGGGCTGGGTGATTGTGCGTTCTTACGTAATGTCTCACATCTAAAACCAGTGTTCTACATAAAAATTATGGGGGATAAAGAAAGAAAAAGAAGAAGAAGAAGAAAAGAAATTATGGGATTTCAATCTAATATCCATCAATCGGGGAAATGGAGCAAACTGAAATCACACAGATCATAGTGACTTCTGGGAACTCTAGCTCAGGTGTGGCTGACCATAGAGTACAAACAAGGACAACTCTAACCTCATAACATACTTAAAGACAGAAATCAGACATTCAGGAACATAGTATTTTTGTAGAACTGTATGTAACCCTAAAGAGATTATCTATTTCACTTTATCAACAGCAGAGCTGTCCATCTCAAATCTAATAGGTTGCATTTTTTTAAAGATTTATTTATTGATTTTAGAGAGAGCAAGTGCACATGGGGGTGCATGAAGAAGGAGAGAATCTTTTCAAGCAGACTCCTCACTGAGCACAGACCGCAGTGTGGGGCTTGAACCCACGACCCATGAGAACACGACCTGAGTGGAAACCAAGAGTCAGACATTTAACCAACCAAGCCACCCAGGTGCCCCTATAAGAGCTTGTTAAATGCAGAGCACAAATTAGAACTCTGTATTATGTGGCTAAATGTTTTAAACTACTAGAATCATCACAGCTTTCCCGTAGAACACTTGACACTTCTTGATGAAAAGGGAAATGCAATTACAGTATCATAATTAACAAATAAAAATAAGGGAACAACAAATGGTGTTTGAAAAAATGTTGACAAGAACTGGTTGAGTCCTCAGAGGAGGTTGAAATTGAGTCCGTTAGATCCGCTGAATGGTAATGCAAGAGTAACCTGGAATGCAAAGAGTATTTCCAATCTGGAATAATCCATATACGGATACTAAGTACTTCCTCCTACATAAAGGAAGAAAGAAAATAGGAAAAACACTCGTACTCTTTGCTTGGTTCAGGAAATCTGGTAGAGTTGTATTTCTAAATATTTGTCATTCAGGCTTAACCTTCACAATTTTGCCATATCCTCATCACTCTTGTGTCCTATTAGTTACTTAACGTTTTTCTTTAAGTCAAATTTAGCTTTTTCTTATATATATTTTTACAGTGTAGATATAGATATAGATATAGATACTAGGTATTTTATATATGTATGTATGTATGTGTGTGCGTATATATATATGTATATATATATACACTAAATATAAGAAAATACCAGGCAAGTAAAGCAATAGTGTTTTTGATCAGGAATTGCCAAATGCACAAAAGTTTTCTCTAGCTGCCAGCAGGAAAGACATTGGGCATTTGTCCTTCCTCTAAAAGGACCATTTACACTAAAAGTGCAGTTCAGCAAATATGAGCACTTACTCCATGTCAAGTCCAATCCTGTGTGGGACCAGAGGTTCATCCTTGTCCTCCAGGAAGCTAGAATGTAACAGCAAGTGAATTGATTATTTGGAGAAAAAAATAACAATCTTTCTTAATAAATATTCCTGTTATGACCAAATCTTAACATGCGCTTTCTCCTGAAACTGATTAGAGTATCATTAAGGACCAGGCTGATTCCTGACAAAGCAGACTGAGAAGCCCAGAATTAAATTTTCCCAAAAAGGAACCAGGTGGGAAGAATCCTGTATGATACATTAAGATCTAAAATAGGTACTAATATAATGTGTACAATGGGAGCATAATTATACAAATATATGTATATTTATGCATAAAATAAAGATTAGAAGGAAGTACACCAAGATATCAAAATATTAACAGTAATTCTCTCTGCATATTGGAATTACACATGAGTTTTATTCCCATACCTATAATTTTTATATTGTACAAGTTTTATTCAGTGAGATTATATTTTTTTGGATATCAGAAATAGAATTTCGTTTTCACTTTAACCTTTGATTCCCATTTACCTAAGACTTTTTTATTAGAGAGGTTCTTTGTGTGTTATGCGTGTTTTTTAATAAAGGCTGCCTCTCTTTAAAAGAAAAAGCAATGGGCTCTTAAGAAGTTTAATTCCTTGTTCTCTGTTACAGCCTTACCCTTTTCTTCTCCATATGTTTGCACCTCCTTCTGACTTGAAGGTATGTTCCTTTATCTCCACATGTGAAACTGGTATCTACAAGGTCTTCCATTAAGCTCAAAATTGTAAGAAATTTCTTCCTCTGACATTCCATAGTATCTTATTTGTAACTTATTTATGACACTTTTTAACATTTTCAACATGAATTACAGAATCGGAGAATCTTAGAACTCAAAAAGATCATGAAGAACACCTCGTTCAACTTACTTGGCAAATGGAGAAACTGAGACCCAATTAAAATTATGTGACATACTTCAATTTGCACAGCAAGTTAGATGCAGCATCAAGACCAGATGCCAGGCTCCATCTAGGATCCCAGGTCCCTGTTCTTCCTATTTACATAGATTTATGCCTACTTGGAGTGAGTGTTAAATATTTTTGCTAAGTTGAATGGCAAACTTTGTCAACTAAGAGTCTTACCTTGTGATTTTGTCTAGCATAGCATATGGTAGCCACGCATTGACTGGGTTTCTCTTTTTCTTTCTTCTTGCTCCAGCATGCCTTCTGTTTTGGCCCATAGAAAGGAAAAATATAGTCCATAAAGATGATGACAAAAATTTGGGTATCAGATTTGGGCACTCCACCTAGAGCAACAACAACAACAACAAAACATTTTTATGAATCTGATATTTTCAGCACTGGCCTTCTCTACACTCTCCTAGTCAGATACCTAAATCTCTTCTCTACCTACCAGTCATTTTATTTTTTAGTATAATGGAAAATCTCACTTTATGGGCAGATGAACAATGCTGATTTCCAAATCCAGCACGCAATTCACTCAATTATTTCATGGGAAAAGGGCTTTATAGTACATTCATAACCCACTCAAAGGGATTCTTCAACTTTCATTCAACCTACACTTTTCTACATTGTACGCTGACCCCTCCAAAACATCCTCCACACATAGAATCCAGACTTATAACAGATAAGCACTCATTTCAAGCTAGCTAATAGCAGTACAGCTTTTTAAGCAACAGTTCTGTTTATTTATTATTACACAATCATTCAAAGACTTTATTACATTTCCTGTCACACAGTATAGGAAATGGAAAATAAAAATGCACACCCAGCTCTACTATAATTAAAGCAATTGAGGAGGAAAATGGCAATCTCTAGGTAAACCAAAAACAACACAGTCAGACACTCATTAGATTTAGAAAGACCCCTGCGTTTATAATTGTGAAGGAAATTAAACAATATATTCAAAAGTCTGAAAATATATTATCAAATATTTTCTTAAACGCAATATTTTCTACCATTGTTTCAATTATCTGGGAAAGGAAACCTCTTTATAACATGTAAGTCGTTCTCAGATGCCAGACAGGCTCCAGTAAATCATCTATTAATTCTCTTTGACTTTTTGTTCTTGAATAAAGGAACTTACTTCTGCACGAGCTCCCTGGGCTTTCTACCCTTTCTAAAATATTGGTTCTTCCCCCTTTTGTTCAGAAGCCAAATGATTCGCTTCAGGCTCATGACTGATTTCCCATTGTTCCATTCACTCTAACCTCTCCTCATTGCGCCAACAATCTGGACCCCAGAGGGATTTGTCACAGTTCTCCAATTCTCTTTCCCCCTTGGCAGCAATTTTTTATTTGATTTTTCTTTTTCTTTACTTTTATAAAAAAAGAAAAATTCTCACTTTAACACTTTCTTTTAAATTGTCCTTTGGTTATGAGAGGAGGAAAGGGCCTTAACTTCTTGGAACTCACGCAACGTTGACAGGGAACGCTGGTGCTCATCTCTTTCCGCTACACCCCAGAAATATGGAAATGATACTCATAAAAATGGTATTTTTAGGGTGCCTGGCTGGCTCAGTCATTAAGCATCTGTCTTCGGCTCAGGTCATGATCCCACTGGGATCGAGCTCCACATCCAGCCCCACATCGGGCTCCCTGATCAGCGGGAAGCCTGCTTCTCTCTCTCCCACTCCCCCTGCTTATGTTCCTGGTCTGGCTCTCTCTCTCTCTCTCTCTCTCTCCTTCAAATAAATAAATAAAATCTTTCTTTTTTAAAAATGATATTGCCTTTTGATTTGTATTTGAATCTATTCATCATGATGATAAATTCAGTTTGATTCTGCCATAGAAGCTATTTTTTAAAAATCACCAACAAAGTAAAAACAACAGTTACAAAAAAAAAAAAAATCTCTGGAAAGGAATGTGAAAATGATACTTTGCTCTCAAATAAATGGTATGACTTTCAGATAACAAAGTACACGCAGCAATAGAACAAATATAACTATTGAAATCATTCCAGGGTGAAGGGCAGTGGGAGATGCAGGTTTCCAGTTATGGAATGAATAAATCACGGGAATAAAAGGCTCAGCCTAGGGAATATAGTCAATGGTATTATAATAGCATTGTGTGGTAACAGACTGTAGCTACACTTGTGAGAACAGTATAACATATAAAGAAGTTGAATCACTATGCTGTACACTTGAAACTAATATAACACTGTATGTCAACTATACTCAAATTAAAAAATTTTTTAAGGAAATTATTCTGAATGGGGAAATTTGTTGCCATCATTACTAGTAATAGCATCAGTGACCACAGCAGTATATACTGGAAATCGTATTTAATCTTCACAACACTCTGTGAGGCATATAGTTCTAACCCTTCTTTTTTTAATATATTAGGAAACAGGCTCACAGAGGTTGCTTAATGCCTGATGTCACATAGCAGAGCCAAAATCAAAATTCATGCACAGCTGGGAAAGCCTGAATGCAAGAAGAAAGTGAGACAAATGAATTCTGTATTGGACTATCATTCAAAATCTAAGAATTTACCAAAAACAACACACTAAAAAAAAAATCTCACTTAAGTTGAAATCACATCTTTTCTGGTATAGTTTTTGAGCATGTAGTTTGTAGGATAATACAGTAAATGAAAACATTAACCCATAACAGCCATTTTTGTAAACTATAAATATGATCATACACAGGAACTATTCCAGAGGATAAAACAACAAAATTAAAAAGTTTTCCAAAAGTCACCTGATGAAGTTATCAACAATATTGAGAATTTTATTTTTATATTAAATTAACAAATATGGTAAAATCAGTAAGAATTTGCCTATGTTATAATTCAAAACTGATTTGTAATAATTTGAATATCCACACCCTCTTTATGTTCTCTGATGTTGATGAAAGATATCCTGTAGTTATTTGGTTTGCGTCCAAAGGATTCTTTGTTTAGAAATAAAATTATTTTCTACAGTTTTCTTTCCCCTTAAGATTTCTAAGTCAACACAGTAGTGAGAGAGAGAGAAAGATTCTCTCTCTCTCTCTTTTTAAAGATTCTATTTATTTGAGAAACAGAGCAAGAGAGAGCACAAGAGCATGGGCAGAGGCAGAGGGGGAAGCAGACTCCCCTGCTGAGCAGGGAGTCTGACACGGGGCTTGATTCCAGGACCCTGGGGCCATGACCCCATGACCCTGGGATCATGATTGGAGCCAAAGGCAGATGCTTAACTGACTAAGCCACCTAGGTGCCCTCTCTCTTTTTTCTTATTTATAAACCTATAATAGCATTAGCTCATTTTTAATAATTTAAAATAAATCTGTATCTTAAATCTCTTGATTTGGGGATGATAAAGACAACTAAATTTTGAGAGATAGAGAATTTAGAAGGGACAGAACCTCTTTTCCTTGCCAAAACATGATATCCTATTACACAATTAAATGAGAAAGCTTCAAAAAGCTTAACTGACATCCTGGGCACCTCTGAGCTCAATAGCATAATATTTTGATAAGGAAAGTTGTAAATAGATGAGATACATATGGATTATGTTTCCCTTGAAAAGCTCAGGGTTTTAAAAACTAACAGATAATGTGCTTTGAGCTTTCATCCAATTCTCCATTCTTGTGAAATGCAACAACCCTGAACACAGATTTCTCCCTCACTTAGGATTATGAACTGGTCTGGAAACACGAGTCACATAGCACAGCAGCTCTGTGACTAGGGCACATAAAAATCCTTGGTACACCAAATCCACTCTGTATATTCAGATACGTAATTCAAGCCCAAGAGACACATCAGAAAGTAAAGGGTGATAGAGAAAAAAGCAAAAGAGGCAAATGAAACAAATATGACACAAGAGCATTATAAGGGTTTTATTGTACTGTGAGTCCACAGTGCTCGATTTTGCAAAATTCCTGAACATGGAAACAAGATGAATTAAATGTGATTAGCTTAAGAAACAATACTAAAAGAGGGCATTTTTTCCTTATGTTCAATGGCCACAAACACTACATTTAATCATCTCAAAGGGATATAGTTGTAGAAGGAAAAAACATTTGAACAATATTCTATTTGACAGTGTCTTGCAGGACCCAGTTTCAGAACTTTTATTATTTTTTTAAATGCTTTATGTATTTATTTGATAGACAGTGAGAGTGAGAGAGATCACAGAGCGAAAGGAAGAGGAAAAGGCAAACTCCCCACTAAGCAGGGACCCCAACATGGGGCTCAGTCTCAGGACCCTGAGATCATGACCTGAGCCAAAGGCAGGCCACCCAGGCGCCCCAGAACTTTTATTATTTTTAATACATGTTATAAATATATGATAATACAATTAATATTCTTTATATAAGCTAATCCTTAGGAGAGGAATTTTATATACTAAATAAGCCAGTAGCAGAGGGAGCTATACACAAAAGCCCTTCAGGAAAGAGAATGAAAGGACATTGCAGTTTGCTATAATGCCACAAATGTGCTGTAGGCATAGTTGCCTGGAGCTTAAAAATACTATAAGACTTAGTACTGGACAAATAAACTAATATTTTCAGAGCGTCTGCTATAAGCCAGGCACTGTATCTAAATTACATACCTGATCTCCTTGTATCCTAACAGCTCTGTGATATATAGAGTATCTTTACAATCATCACCTTTAAAAGTGTCAATGAAGACACTAAGATTCCAGGAGATCAGGGCAGTCATAGCTAACTCTCAAAACCGTCTTGAGGATTAAGAAACAACACACAGGGGTGCCTGGGTGACTCAGTGGGTTAAAGCCTCTGCCTTCAACTCAAGTCATGATCCCAGGGTCTTGGGATTGAGCACCCGCATTGGGCTCTCTGCTCAGCAGGGGGCCTGCCTCTCTGCCTACTTGTGATCTCTGTCTGTCAAATAAATAAATAAAATCTTAAAAAAAAAAAAAGAAACAACCTAAAATGTTTGTATATAAGCCACAAAGAGAAAATACAAATATAATAGTTTAAAATTTTATAGTTAACTTCGAGTTCAATGTGCCATACAAAGCACACATCTTCCTCTTCTCCCTCCCAAATGCCCTTTGAAATTACAAATGTAAACTGGAAAGAAGGGAGTTGGGGGAAATTGGAGGGGGAGATGAACCATGAGAGATTGTGGACTCTGAGAAACAAACTAAGGGTTTTGGAGGGGCGGGGGTTGGGAGGTTGGGTGAGCCTGGTCGTGGGTATTATGGAGGGCACGAATTGCATGGAGCACTGGGTGTGGTGCATAAACAATGAATTCTGGA